AAAAAAAAAAATCCAGTGACCTCATCGGGATTTGATCCTGCAACCGTCTGGCTTGTAGCATAGTGCCTCAACCAACTATAAAATCAAAATCTCAGCAGCATGAATTAACATGATGAATGGCTCTGTGCAGCCCAGTGATTTTATGTATTTCTGTGAAGAAAGTCGTCTTCTGGGTTTTGGCGCCATGTATTATTCGTTTTGCCTGACGTTCCTCTAAAACGTCGGCCAAAACAAATAATACACGGCGCCAAAACCCAGAAGATGACTTTCTTCATAGTCATCGCCATGAAAACCTCAAAACTTGCATTATGTATTTCTGTTTATGTGTGTGCATAAAAGTCTTTTACAATTATCTTTATATCTGTATTTATTGTTATTATTACTGTAATTTTTTTTGCATATGACATTTAGTTTGTGGTGATGATAAGGTCATCAGAATCTGTTTTTTCCATTATTGTGGCTTCTTATCCACATTTTTAGGACAAACAAATGATAAACATATTCATCAAGTCTTATTTACAAGTAGGACAAATGCAATAATATGAGAGAGACCCTAATAAAATATCTTTCTTAATTGGTTGTCGTGCCTTATCGAATATGCTCATGCTAAGTATGTCCCTCTATTAAAGGCTGGATTATCGTGTGGAAGACAAAGAAAACTCTTACAAGGCTGGAGTCAGTGGCACAGTTAAGGTGAAGGAAACATCTCAACCATTGAAGGCTGAAGTGTCATTCAACAAGTTCACACTACCTGAAAATGGAGAACTTGGTGCTGAAGTAAGTGAAATTACTTTTGTTAATGGTAACAGTACAGCCACAACATAAACAGATGTCTGAACTGTCAGAAATTAAAGGGGTAGGACAATAGAATCCAAATTTTTTTGTGTGTGAGGTACAAAATTATGATGCAATTTCAATGGCTAGAATTGAGGAGTTATGCACATAGACACTATAAGAAAAATACCTCTATTCATATAGGAATTTACCCAAAGTTTTACTTGTACTATTTTTAAAAAATACAGGAACATCAAAAACTGGATAATGCAAAGCCATTTGTTTGTATTTCCCTCTCTCTTTATGTGCTGTCCTTGTGCCTCTGAACTTTGTAGTTCACATTCTGTATATTAAATACAACATTTACATTTATGTAAAAATAAATGTATTGGCAAACATATTAGGGACAGTATACCTGCAAGAATTGTCATAACATTGTAATATGGTGGAACTTCCATAGAATATTATTTGATTTCAGGTTTTCACCGATTTCATGTTCAAATTCAATGACCTCAACAAATGACCTTATTATTAAATTTTCTCAATTTAAGATTTACCTCAGTGCAGTGTTCAGATCTGCAATATTCGATAATCTATGAAGTGAGATACATTTTTACTGTTGCTCTTCCCTTGATCTCTTGTGAATGAATAGTCGTGTATCATATTGGTATCTTGGGCGAGATGTGTGAGTTACAGGAGTGCAGCAGTATAATGGAAAAGGAGATTTTCCAGCTTTGTAATGACTGCTACTGTGAATCTGGGGGTAAAATGCCATGTTGTTGCATAACCTTTTGTATTTAATTATAATGGTAATGTTCATGTACTTCTGTCATGAAAATTGTGGTACTTTAATGCTGCCATTATAAGGTTGTATGTTCCCTTTTCATACCCTGCAAGAAAAGAAAGCACATGGGAGTGGTCATGCCCCTCTGTAAATGTGCTTCAATTTGAAAACTGTGGAACAGATTCTGAAGAAATTTGATACGAACATTATATCAGGGGAGGCCACCTCAAATTAATAATTTTTAATTTTGTACATTTGGTAATAGCAACATGGCAGATACATAAATTTGTGTGGTGGGAGTGACACTGCCAGAGATTATCAGAATATTTTAAACTCTAATACCTATGGTTGATAGGAAGTGTAGTAATCATACTGATAATAATAAAAAAAAGCATGAGAACAATAGTAGTCATTATAATGCCAGAAACCAAAGAAAAAGCAGTAACAGATTTTAGAAATGTATATATGCTCAAATGTGAATTCAGACTGCAGAGATTCAAAAATGCATGTAGAAACTTGTACACTCTGGTATGGACTGCACCTTTCCAATCTCAGTTTCTTTCTACAGGCATCACTTGTATTCAGCCTGGGACAAAAATCTTTTATAGCATCAAGCAAATACACCAACAAAGAGTCACGAGCCGGTGTCACTTACTGCTACAAAACAGGCACATGCTCTGTTGCTGAAGCTCATTCCATCTTCAAATCTGTTGGTAAGTTCTGTTTAGTTACTACATTTTTTCTTACTTGTTTCAACCACTGGTAAATATTTCAGTGACTGACAATAAATAGCTTTGGTCTTGGTATAAGATATCATTCTGATTCATTCCAGACAGCATTACTTTCTTTCACTTATCTGATAATTTGCTTCACTTTCACATCAGTTCAATTCAATTACTGATTAAAATTCTAATATGTGGTCTGACAGTAAAGTTTGTGAACTCATCGCAGTAAAAGTGCTACATACCTCATTGCTGAATATAACTGTGATCACCTTCAAAGCACTCCCATTGGTATGCACCAATGCCAGTGGCTAGTCCAACCTACAAAATAATTTTGGAACTGGTTTTGTGGAGTGGCCTTCAGAGCTGCCATCGTATTACTCCTGATGACATTAATGTCAACAAAATGCTTTCCTTTCAATATTTCCTGTATCTTCAGGAACAGAAAAAAGTCCCTGTGGGCTAGATTCGGTGAATAGGGAGGGTGTTCCAGCACAGTTATTTGTTTACTAGCTTAAAACTCCCTCACAGACAGTGCCAAATGAACAGGCACATTTTTGCGATGCAAGGTCCATGATTTGTTGGCAAAAAGTTCAGGTTGTTTCCCTTTAACTTTCAGTACTTCCAGTAGTAAACTTGGTTGACTGTTTGTCCAGTTGGTACAAACTTATATAACGAACAATCCTTATAATATCAAAAAAGTAGCAATATTATTTTGACTCTTGATTTCTATTGACGGAAATTTTGGTCATGAGAATAGGTAGTGTTCCATCGCGCACTTTACCACTCCATTTTGGGGTTGTACAAGTAGGCCCATGTTTCATCACCAGTGATGACATGGCCCAAAATATCATCTTGCCTCTCCATAACGTCTTGGCAAATTTTTACTCTTCTTTGTTTTGTTCTTCAGTGATCTTTGGAACTATTTTTGCCCACACCTTCCTCACGTCAAAATCTTCGATTAAAATTCCTAACTGTTCCTCTGTCGATGTTTGCTTGCTCTGATATGCTCATGACAGTCAGCCAACAATTTTCACAAACAATGTGACGACTTTTTGCAATGTTTTCTTCAGTTATGCTCATTGCTGTCCGTCCTGATCTCTCTTCGTAAGTGACACTTTCTCTTCCCTCGTGTCACCCACTTGTAAACGGCCGTCTTCTTCATAGCATTATCCCTATAAACTTGCACTAACAAAAATCTGATTTCACTTCCACTCTTGCCTAGTTTAACAATAAATCTATTGTTCGTTCATTGCTCTAATTCAAGCTCTGACACCCTCATGACGGCACAGCAAACACACTCAGATAATAATAGATTCATTCATTCATTCAGAAGGAGACTGCCATATATCAGCAACACAACTGTGAAATGCTGATATGCCAGTGTCATCAAAATGCTACCACGGGTAGCACATGATGGTGAGTCCGCGAACTTTATTGTCAGACCTCGTATATCCGTGAAGTACTGCAGATTCAAGTTTATAAAATAATATTTTTTCCACTCTTGTTATATGTGTGTGAAACATAGTCTTTTTACTTTGAAGGAAGAGCATGAATTACTAGTGTATGAAAAAATAGTGCCCTTGAAATTACTGTTTGGATAAAAGAAAGCATTTCAGGGTATTCCGTAACAAGGAATATCATGGTTTTTATGGGTCACTTACCATTTTTATAGTAGTAAAATCTCGGGGGCTGTCATGAACTAAAGTATTTAGATAGGATGAGGAGATGGGCAATGTATAAAGAATTTTGGTGGAGAAATTTCTTCAAAGCACAAGAATTATGTATCTTAGGGATATAAATTATGGGAATGAGAGGTAGTAAAAATTAGCTAAGGAGTGTGTTCAGTGTCTGGCTTTGATGTTAACTGTGTTAAACCTTTGGGTTCTATTGCCAGATCATTATTTTAACAATAACAAATTCTAATTGGACACAGAATTTTTAACATTTCTCATAAAATAAATCAGTATCATCATGTCACACTATGTTTATACAGCCAGCAGTTAAATTACAATACCTAGAATTAATTTATTCTGAAATGTAAGTCCTAAAGTGTAAGGAATTTTGGAAGACATTCACGTTAAATGTCATGGTACCATATAAACTTCTGTACATTAACTATATGGTTAAGTAACCATTCTACTTGACCATAAGTTGTCATCTGCAGAATATTCATTATTTTGTGCTTTTGCAGATTTAACACATCTAGAACATAATTTTGGAGCAAAGATTGATCTTAAAGCAAGTGGAATTGCAGAAGGTTTTGTCCTGGAAGGCAAGACTTTGAGATTACCATTGTCATTTGATCATGAAGTTGAACTGAAACTGCTCAATGAAAAACACACAACATATAAGTTGCATTCATATCTCAACGAGAAATCTGTTGGTAAGTACCTGTCTTCCTAACGACAGAACTGTGGCATATAATGACATGTTGATTGAATCACAGATGTTGCGGAGTATATTAAAAGGCCCAAATGTCCAAAGGTATCCTCTACCCATGTGGTATTATCATTTATCATTTATTATCATTCAACAGCCCATACATACAGGTTTTACAACCATTTGGATAAGGAAATTGTCAGTTTTACATCTAATTCTCCTGCATATCTTTACAGTATACACTGTACCACCCTAATATAGGGGGTTTGTCATCTGAATAATATTATCTAGATCTAGTTACCATTAATTTCATTGTCTTTACATAAATACAACAGATTAATGATCTATATATTACATTTACACACTTGAAAAATCAAAATTCATCTACAGAATAAAAGGAATGTTTCAGCAAAAAAGATTTTAATTCCTTTTTAAATTAGTTAAATTTTTCCCTTTGTTTTATTTTATTGGGGACCTTATTATACAAACTAATTCCCATATTTATCACACTCCTCTTAAAAAGAGCTGTATTACAATGCTGTACATGAAAATTTAATTTTCTTCGTGTGTTATAATTATGAATGTCCGAATTTATTGCCATAAAAGCCTTGTATTTTTTGATAAAGCATGTCACCTCCAATATATACAGAGAAGGCAATGTTAAAACATTGTAATCTTTAAAAATTTGTCTACATGACGTGCGACTACTAGTACCACTAATCACTCGAAGAACCCGCTTTTGCAATTTAAAAATGCTTTTACTTCCCCATCCCCACCCCACAATAAGATACCACTTCTCATACATGACTCAAAATTCGAAAAATAAATAATTTTTTTCATATATGGACTCATCGTTTCTTTTATTATTATCACCATATAAATTACTTTGCATAGCTTTGCTTTTAGAAATTGAGCATTAGCGCACCATTTTAGGGTTTCAGTCATGTGAATTCCAAGAGATCTCAGTTCTCTACCATTCAGTCCAGAACCTTTTATCTTCTCATCTGCTGTCCTAAAACATAAAAATTAGAACATACAGAACTATAATTTTGCCTGTGGTTCTGTATGGGTGTGAAATTTGGTCTCTGACATTAAGGGAGGAACATAGACTGAGGGTGTTTGAGAACAGGGTGTTGAGGAGAATATTTAGACTGAAGAGGGATGAAGTAACAGGAGGTTGGAGGAAACTGCATGATGAGGAGCTTCATAACTTGTACTCTTCTCCAAGTATAATTAGAATGATCAAGTCAAGGAGGATGAGGTGGGCAGGGCATGTATCATGAATGGGGGAGATGAGGAATACATATATGAGTAGGATATTAGTGGGAAAGCTGAAAGAGAAGAGACCACAGGGAAGACCAAGGCGTAGGTGGGTGGACAGTATTAAAATGGATCTTAGAGAGATAGGATGGGATGGTATGGATTGGATTGAGTTGGCTCATGATAGGGACCAGTGGATGGCTCTTGTGAACATGGTAATGAACCTTCAGGTTCCATAAAATGCTTGTAAATTCTTGAGTAGCTGCAGAATTGGTGGCTCCTCCAGAAGGGCTCAGCTCCATGAGTAATTCTTTTTAATTCGCTTAGTGGGGGGTGGAGTCCAACTGGGTCCACTCAGCATGATGGCCACTGATTGGACTGTTGTAGCCTGCCCAGGGTGATTATGATGATGGAGAATTTGGTGAAATGAAGATTGGCAGGGGAAACCGAAGTACTCGGAGAAAACCCACCCCAGCGTCACTTTGTCCACCACAAATCCCACCTGACCAGACCCCGGGATCGAACCCCGGCCACCGCGGTGGGAAGTCAGTGACTAAACGCTTGAGCTATGGTGTGGCCCTAGCTCCATGAATAAGTAAGTAAGTGCCTTTACATGTTTCAGTCAGTTGTGATCATCTTCAGAAGGCCATAATAACATGCTAAGGAACTACTACTATCATTCTGAATTTGCATGTGGAATCTGCAGAATTAAACTGAAGTAATGAAAGAGTTCCCATTTCAAATGGAAGTCCCAGGAATTTTGCGTGATCATCAGTTTCACTCTTCTTCCCATAATATAAATTCCATGGGAGGGAAACTTTTGTTTCTTCAGTGGACTGTTCAGCCAGCTAACCCACCCAGTTGAAGTTTTATTTCACTTGCTTATTTGTATAGGTGTTGTGGTCACCCTGCCACAGCGAGTAATTGCAGCTGAAGGCAATTTAAAGTACATAAAGGAGGAAGGTGAACGCAAACTTGACCTTAGCATCTGGTTGGACAAGCAGAAGCAGCCAAACAACAAGGCTAGTGTTCATCTCCTTTCAGCAGTTAATCCAACTAAAGATGGCACCATTATCAAAGGGGAAGTGAAAATTTCACATCCAGCTCTTCAAAAGGTGACAAAATAAAACTTTATTTAGTATTATAGTTTATGTAGTAAAAACATTCTTCACTACTATTGGAATTATTTTCTTTGTTGAGAGTAGTACTTTTACTATCAATTAGATGCCCCAGGTTTAGTTATAGAACACAATCTTATAGTGTTGCATCGTGTTTGTGATGATTACACATAAGAATAGAGAGGTTTCTCCATCATAGAGACAACTGTTTTTATTACTTGAAAACCTATCTTAGGTTTCTTTACTCACATGTATTTGTAAAATTAAGGGAATACAATTGCTGCTAAATTAGCATTTGTATGTTATAATGATTCAAGCAACACATATTTCTTATTTAGTTGTAATACAGTCTTGTAAATGTGTGTTTCAAGCCATACTTTATTTTTAGGATTTTGCAGTAACTAGCAAAGCTACTCTGTTGAACCATGACATCCTTCTAGATGCTACAGTTGATTTTGATGTGTTTTCTAAGAAGAATCAGAAAGTAATTCTTACTGCCAAGCTTGTGAGGAACCAAGTTTCAAATGGCTTTAATGTCACAGGCTTCATAAGTACAAAAGGAAAGGTGAGTGGACATGGCAGTAAGAGAATTATTTACCTTTGCTTAAATTTATTTCTCCCATCAAGAAATAATTTGAACAATACTTCATTTAACCAACTAACTGTCTGGTAATAAAGCTTGAAGTTTCAGCACTGCTAATATTAGTTCCATCCACTTCCCATCTTCACTACCTATTTTTCAAAGATCCTTTCAAATGACAGCTAACCATTGTTCTTCTCTACCATAATTCTGTATATATTTGTTGTTCCTCCATCTAGGCTACATAACCAGCCAAGTGTAACCTAGATTTCACTACCCTGACAGTATTAAGTGTCTTGTGTAAATCATGATTGTTCTTGTCATCTTCATTATCTGTATTATGTAAAGGTTACTGCAGAATTCTCTGTGCAGTGCATTCGTTGTGTATCATGTAATTAAAAACAGCATTTTCCATTCTGTGTTGATGCATGTATCAGTGTTATTACATTTCCATTTAAAATGCTATTGATTTGAAATGAAAGCATTTTCAATTTTGTTTATGTAAAGTATATGGAATTTTCTGTAGTAGATACATTTTTCAAACCTTTTGGTCAGTAATTTTACCAGAATATATTTATATTTCTTCTCACATTCTACCTACAAATGCCTCAGTGGGATCTGATCTCATTTCTCTTTCAGTTCAATTAGTCTTACAGGTCTTCAAGCTATGAATGATATATCTTGCTTAGTTCCATTATTCCTACTGGTCTGACTTTATTTGATGTTTTAAAAGACCAGGGAGAAAAATGTTCTTTGCTATCAACATTTAAAGCTAGCTAATAGTGGCTTTATAACACTGAAAATGTTATGTTATCATGGAAATAAACTAATAAATTAGGGAATCTTTTTGGTACAAGCAAGATGGAAAGTATTAAATCCTTCATCACCTCCATAAGCCTTCCAGCAAATGAAGTAGAAGTAATTAGGTCCATGGTGCAGAGTTCTTCTAGAGAACTTAGTAGTTACTTAAATGGTCAAGAAACTCCACATCTTTCATGGAAGCCGAAGGTTCATTTCCATCTTCACAAGATGATAATGTAATTCACACATTAAAAATTAATCCTTGAACAAATTACATAACAAAAACCTTCATTTTTATGTACCAAAACTAAGTAATTAGTAGAGTGTTTACCTCAAAACAGTATTGTATTCCCTGTAATATTGGGTTTTTCTGAATTAGTTCAAATTTTTTAACCATCATATCTCTGAAACAGGTAGAGCTAGAAATAAGAAGCAGAATGCATTGTATGGGTGGCTAATGGAAGTCTTTTGTTCATGAAGTGAGTTCTCTCATTACATATATCACCGATAACAGCCACGAAATAAAATGGCAGATTTTGCAGGATGTGAGTGCACTGAAGATGTGTTATGGTTTAATGAAAATGGCCTCAGCAGCACAAGTGTGCTAATCTGATATGGCAGATCTTGTCTGTTAACTAGACAGTGCTACACCACAGATTCACAGGGAGGTGAAAACCTGCATGACATGACCTTTCCTAGTGCAAGGATTGTCTTGAGAAGGAAAACTCCCTCTCCCCCTTGATCACCTGATCTGATCACAGCAGGTTATTTACTAAAGGGCTACATCAAGGATCATGTAGGTCTGCTTCCTCCTTTACACCCTTAATGAACTGGGAGCAGTGATTTTACAACCATTGCCACATTTAAGGTGAAACAGATTAGGCATTGTCTTCACAATGTGAGGACGCTGCATAGAAAATTTGTGAAACTGGAAAATGCACTGGGAAAAACGAAATATCATCTTAATAATGTAATATATTTTGTTTCGTATATAGAGCTCTGTTAATTTCAGGGAAACAATTGATCAGAGGTGCGATCTAATTTAGAAAGATCCTGTAGATTTCTATATATTCAGGTGTATTGCAAAATTTTGTGGCTAATTTCTGTCATCTATAAGGTGTTGTCTAAATGCATATATTTGTATGCTAGAATATTTATATTTTCATGCAAATTATTTATTATATTTTAATAAAGTGATGAACAGTGGAAATGTACATTACTTTCCGTTCTTTGTTATTGTGGCTAGATTGTTGACATCACTCTTGAGGGGGGAGCTGAAGTTTCAACAAATGGAATTGGTTACAACTCAGTCCTCACATATAAGGATGTGCAGCAGAAAATAAAAGAAGCTCAAGTCCTGTTTCAGCTCACTTTTACTAATCCCCTTGTTTATGTAAGTACATATCATAACCATTAAATTTCTGCTAGATAAAGTGTTTAAACGCTTAGAATATAAAGCTTAATTAAACATAATTTAAATATTGAAATATAAGTCCCTAATTTTGGTTTCTTATAAATTCCAGAAGACTGATGTGAAAATGAAGGAATTTTCAGAATATGGTACCATATGTTATGCCATTTCGTGTGACATAATTTGCAGCTCAACATATCCCTTTTCCCACATTTTTGGCCAATATCTTCCACCTTTGCTTATTTGTTGCTCTACCCTCCAGCACTTGTTCCATCCAGCTCATAGCCCAGTACTGTACCAAATTAGCCATTCTGGCTCCTGTAAAATAATGACTGGACAAAAAATTTTCAAGAAAATATATTGGTCAAGGAATTCTGAGAGAATGACCATGAAGAAGCCCTTGCTGGACACAATGTGTGGTTTGGAAAGGAAAAGTAGAAGATTGTTAACAAGAGAAACCCCAGAACTCTGAAAATTCTGTACAACTTTCTGCACCTAACAATACTTAGTGCTGAATATGGAATAAGCAAATGCATTGAACATGCGTGTGGCTGTGTGGGGGTATGAGGTATATCATGTTATATGGCATGAAAGAAAATACCACATTCTGAAACTTTTCCTCATTCACACCATTCTTTTAGCACTCATAAGCACACAAACTTAGGAACTCACTTTCCAAATGTCATTTAGTTTCAAGTTATATTCTTATGTTATTTGCAAGAACTAGAAGCAAATAGACTAGTAAAATACAATGGGCATGATGAACCTTATATTTAACGTTGTGAGGGATGTTGGCTGAGTAATAGACTAATGACAAGGGTTGGCCTTTCTTTGTGTGCAGGGACATACACAAGCTGAGTTGGTTATTTGGAGCTAAAAATGCTCACCCGTTACTTCCTTCCATTTTCATATATTGTCCTCTTTCTCTCCCTCCTCTGTCTGGCCCCCTCACCACCAATTATACAGGGTAATGCATGAATTGGTTCAGTATTTAATCTATCAATAAAACCTTTATTTCAATTACAATAACAGAAACTAACATACAAAAAGAAGGACAGTCGCATGGATATTTATCCTCTGTGAATCTAGTGTTCAATATGACCACCATTATGTCTGGCAACTTCAACTGGAACTGTGATGTTGTTGATTACTTGATGACACATATCCTCAGTTATCTGAGGATAGTTAGTTATTGGAGAGGGTGGGTTTCCCCATGCACTGAGACCTGTATTGGTCCATTGTGCTTGCCTCTATGATTTCTACCAGTCTCTATATCCTACCGGTACTGGTGCTTACCATCAGTCCCGCCCAGCCAGCGAGACTGGCTCTACTAGCTGAGAGGTATCTATAATGCTTCCCCCATCTACCAGAGGTATTAGAGACTGCTGTTGGGCGGGAAACATCCATTAATTTGGCTCAGTGACCTCCTTTGGAGATATGAGGTTCTTTTACGTGCCGTAAAGCTATGACATGGGACCCACGGCTTAAAGTCCCTCCCGGAGGACTTGTTCCCTGAATTTTTCTGCCCTTAAAAATTCGACGACCTCCGCCAGGTATTTGAACCCGCGTACTACAAATCATGAGGTGGGAACTTTACCTCTAGACTACGGAGGCCACTTTATCTGAGAATAACAGATATAACAGTTCAACAGAATTGGCTATATTTAACCTAACAAATCAAATGTTATCACAGATTAATAAGAAGTCATCTGTTAGTGGAATTTTCTGTGACCTAACTAAAGCTTTTGATACTGTAAATCATGACATCCTAATAACTAAATTAGATTATTATGGCAAAGTAGGTAGATTTGGTGAATTAATTAAATCTTACTTAAGTAATAGGCATCAAAGGGTAATAATTAAGTCGTCGTATGCTTCAAATTATGTTTCAACCTGGGAATTAGTTAAACATGGAGTGCCCCAAGGGTTGATTCTTGGACCCTTATTGTTTTTATTTTATATAAATGATTTACCTAAATTAGTAAAAGGCAAAGCCTTGCCGATACTCTCTGCAGAAGTTACTACCTTTATAATATCAAATTCTGATTCAGGGAAAATGGACCAAAATGCTAAAGTAGTTCTGGAGATTACACAAAAATGGTTTAACTCAAATAGAATGATATTAAATTATAATAAGACTAACTTTATGCAGTACCTTCCAAATATTAGTCATCGGACTTTGGATACCACTGAATTCAATACTTATAAAATTAATTCTACTAACTCCATTAAATTTTTAGGTATTATAATAGAATCTTCATTAACATTGAAAGAACATATTTATTATATAAATTCAAAGTTAAATTCGTTAGGCTACATGTTTCGTTCCCTCAGATCTGTATTAGGATTGAAAATCCTGAAACAGATCTACTTCTCCTGTGCTCATTCAGTGTTAAATTATGGTATCATGTTTTGGGGTAATTTGCCACACAGCAGTTCTACTTCTCCTATGTTCATTCAGTGTTAAAGTATGGTATCATGTTTTGGGGTAATTTGCCACACAGCAGTTCTACTTCTCCTATGTTCATTCAGTGTTAAAGTATGGTATCATGTTTTGGGGTAATTTGCCACACAGCAGTTCTACTTCTCCTATGTTCATTCAGTGTTAAAGTATGGTATCATGTTTTGGGGTAATTCACCACACAGTAGATCTATTTGTATAGCCCAGAAATGAACTATAAGAATTATCATGAAAGCCAAAGTAAGGGATTCCTGTAGGGAAATGTTTAGTAAACTTGGAATTTTAACTCTTTACTCCCAATTTATCTTTTCAACTCTTATGTTTGTTGTAAAGCATAAGGATTTTTTCACAATAAATACTGCCTTGCATAAAATAAATACCCACCAAAAATTGGACTTTAATGTTCCTTTAGTAAGTCTAACTAAATTTCAAAAAGGAGTATATTATTCCATTATTACCTTATTTAAATCTATACCCCCCAATATCAAGCAAGTTGCACATGATATTAATATATTTAAACATAAATTGAGGAAGTTTCTTCTAGAAAACTCTTTTTATTCAATTGAAAAGTATCTTGATAGGAATAATAAATTTGACCTTGGGGTATCCCAGTAATTATAGCATCATATTTTAGTTGCATGCATTAGTTTCTTATATATATTTTAATTTTTATTTATTTTATGTTAAGACAAACTTATGTAAATATCAATGTAATCTGCTGACAATTTCTATATCCAATGTTCATGTATCTGAATGGATCAATGAATGCTAATAAATACAATACAGTACAATCTCGTTGCAGGCCTGAATGATTAGTGCTGTCAGTTCCATTATTGTTTGAGGCTTTTTGAAAAAATCTTTTCCTTATGTAATCCCCAAAGAAAATAGTCACATGGGTTTAAATCAGGAGTATTCGGGGACTAGTTATGCCCATGCGAAATGATCAGAAAATCAATTTGAGATGACATGCGAATCAAAAGTGTCATGCAGAAAATCCAAAACAACATTCGCTGTGTGTGGCCTGGCTCTATTCTGCATAAACCACTGAATTTGTAATGGCATACTTGTAGCAAGAAAGTGAGGCACAAAGGTATTGTGGAACATGCTTTAATAATGCTCACTGTTCACTGTCTCTTCAAAGAAAGTTGACCCTAGCAGTCCAAGACTTGAGATGATGAACCACACTGTAATTCTCAGTGCATGATGCGCCATCACATGAATCACACATGGATTCTCTAATGCCGAAATTCACACATTTTGTTCCTTAACCTCACCATCAAAGTGGAAGTGGCCATGCCATAGCTTAAGCGGTTAGTCGCTGGCTTCCCACCGCAGCGGCCCGGGTTCGATCCCGGGTCTGGTCAAGTGGGATTTGTGGTGGATAATGTGGCGCTGGGGCAGGTTTTCTCCGAGTATTTCGGTTTCCCCTGCCAATCTTCATTCCACCAATTGCTCCACAATCACCCTCACCTATCATCTGGTGCTGGTACAATAGGCCAGAAGTGGCCGCAGTACAAGGGACTTAGTCCCATCCCACTAGCAATAAAAAAAAAGTGGAAATGTGCCTCATCAGGAAACCAAACTTTGTTGAACAATACCTCATTATTTTGAGCCCATTCAGCAAATGCCATTTTTTTATGTTTGTTTCAAACTGTAAATTTATGCAACACACAGAGGATAAATCTCCATGCAATGGTCTTTCTTTTTGTATGTTAGTTTCTAGCATCGTAATTGAAATAAAGATTTTATTAATAGATCAAATGCTGGATCATTTGGTGCATGACCCTGTAGATTTATTATTATTATTATTATCATGTTACCACAGAATTTCAGTTCTGCAAATTTGTTGAATAATGTGTCAGTCAGACACTCAGAAAGATGCTCCCCCAGCCAGAATGGACAGGCATAATACTTGCCTAATTCTTATTTTTACCAAGGAAATAATATCACTTTGTCAAGGACAAGTAAATCACACAAAGAAAATCGGCCTGGTTTAGAGATTTACAAATGAACAAAAGTGAAGGTAAGTGGAGTAGAAGGTTGTGTTCCAATGGTGTTAATAGTTTTCCAAAAGCATCCTTTGCTGTTTTGCATAAATCGGTGGCATTAGAAGCCATTTATTGTACACAAAACCTATTTTTAGAAACTGATGACACAATAGATATAAATAAAATTGAATTCATTCACCAGCATTCTGTCAGACGACAGGTCCACAGTCTCTTCCAAAACAGTCCCTCCACTTAATGCGATCTAGAGCTTTCTCCTTCAAATGAGAATACCCTCTTCTGTCCCCAAGGTCATCCAGCATCTTCTTACGTTTTCTTCTCGTCTTCTTTGTACTGTATTCAATATTCAGCATGTCACTGTGTTTCAAATAAATGTTATGGACCTATATGAGATCTGAATTTTATCAAATATTAATCTTATATGCCACTGTTTGAGAGGTATAATATAATTTAAATTTGTTTTGTGTGAAGTTTGGGGACAGCTGATTAGTGCACTCCTAAATTAAATTCAGCTGACGGAATCTTAGTTTGCATCTAGAAAATGTGGAACCCTTGACATCTCACAAGCCTATGAGCCTCCACACCATGTTACAAGGATAGCTTTACTTCACTATTTTTACATATTGCTTTGAATTTATAGGTGAAATCTCCTACATCTGACATCTTGAAGATTGAGCAACAAGTTGCATCATTACCTAATGGTCAGAAATCTATTAAAGAAGAAGTGTTTGTTCTTGGACTCCAGCCTCTTGAAATTGATGGAGTAATTAATTTTCCATTAAGCAGCAAACATACAGTTTTCAAGAAAAGTAAGTACAATTTAGATGTCTTTGGCTTATTGGTACATGTACTTTCTCATGAAGCGAGACCTATGGTTTCATCAATATGAAATAATTGTATTCTGTGAGTAGAGGCATTAGTTTTTGCTAAATTAAATCAAGAAGGCAGCAGTATATTGCAATCAGTTTTTCAGTATATGAAAGTATCTGTATTGTCACTTGTTAGTGACTAGACACTGGGCATGGATTTATCAAAACTTATAACTCATAACTATGAATAACTATAACAGTCTCACTCATTTGCACAGTCTAAACCAATACAGCTGCAGCACACATACATTCTTTAGTTCTTTGGTAGCATCGTCTAACAATGCAACTCAACTCTCAAGAGAGATAACTGCCAATTCTGTCCTCTGACTACTGACTTCCAACTCATGACTGACTGTCATCTAACAACTGCTGACTCATGACTGATCAATTTTCCAGATGGTTCTCGCTATATAGCCTAGGCACAAACCACATAGAGAGCATCACTTCTATTTTTGCTCGCATATCCATTGCCTCTGGAATGTGTTTACCAAACCATTTCATAGCAATTGCCATCTCTTCTTGCTTCTCTGTTCTGCCTTTCAGCCTTCTTGTCACAATATTAATGACTGTCTTCCATCATGATATTTCAGAGGTTCATAAATACAACTCCTAGTAATATTTTTCTTTATTTTCAGTTAAAATAGTCAGAATTATATTGCTTTTCTTATTTGAGAATGTGACAGCACCTCTTACATGTCAGATTTTCAAAGTACTAGTGCTAATGGAAACCTTAGTAATCCACTGTGTGAAAATTTCAGTTCTGCCAATAATTACATAAAAACGACGTCACTGAGTGAACTAATATAGGGAGGAAATTTCACTATAATATATTTTAATTTTGCTCTACAATATGTCATCACAAAAGTCCAAGAGAACTGTAAATTCTGAATTGCTTAGTCAGGCACCCATATATGTTGATGGCATTAATTTATTATACGAAAACAAGAAGTTCTAGGATGAACTATTCTCCCACTTTTCATGGTACAACACAGACCACATAGAAAACGATGATTCAACAATTCTTTTATTGTTGCATGCATATTTGTTGCCATGGTAATGTTTCTACATAGCAGTTAAGCCATTGCCTAGTAATGAGAAGGGACACACACAGACATGTGCGCCCATTCACACACACACACACACACTCACACACACATACACTCTCTCTCTCTCACACACACACACACTCTCACTTTCACTCACACTCACACTCTCTCTCTCACTCACACACACACACACACACACACACACACACTGATGGGATGAATTTATGGAGTGCGCTGTTGAGATGGGCTCAGGTTCCATGATATGCATACCAAGTTTCATAAAGACTGTGTCAGGCTTTCAGAAGTTCATGCAGACACATAGACAGCATGGAGATGCATAAGACTACTTTCAATTTTTCAAAACAATGGAAGGAGGCTAATAAAAACTCTGTAAAGAATAATTCAGAAGTATTTCAAAGTAAATATATCTAGAATAAGTGTAGATAAAAGTAAATATGAACATGTCATGGAACCAGAAATTATGACAATTACTGTAACTATAAACAATAAAGCATTTCGTAGTTTATCCCCTGGAGAACGATATTAACAAACAAAAATTTGATGATGAAAGTAACTCTGGAATATTCAGGAAATTCATATCAATATTTGAATTTTCCACTAGATGGAAGTTATTGCTTGTCTGTAAAATATACCAGGCTTGTTTTACAAAGAAGACACAGTGTGTCATACATTGGAATAAGAGTAGAAAAGAGAAGAAATTTTTGTATGACTGAGACTGTGAAGCAGACAGAGTCTGAAGCATACTTGTATCATGACTGACATTTTAGGTGACATTTATTCTGCAGCTTTGTACTTCCATTTCAGGTACGCCTGACAAGAAGCTGGAGATAGATTTTCTGCATGATATATTGACTGGATTCAGTGTTCGTGTAACTTCAATAGCTGGTGGTTCAAAGAAAGATGTCATATATATTGGTTTGGATCTCACAGATAACAACTTCCTTAAAACACATTTCACATGGTCAACAGATGAACTGAAGCGTTTGGTGGTAAGTTATTAATTTCATTATACTTCAATTCCTATACACATGAATCCATACAGTAAGGTATGGTTACTGAAACTGACTGTAAGCTGATGTACAAGTAAAGACATAAAATAATATTTACATATATGCAATGGAAGATTATAGAATTCTGGGACTGATATTTACTTGAGGACTAAAATTCATATAATTTTTAATAAAAAAAGCTTTCAGAGTAATCCTTTCTCAATTGTGCTCAAGATTCCAGAAACTCTGCCATTTTTGAAGCTATTATGATACTCTTTATACAGAATGATGTTGATTTCCCATCTTGCATTTTGCATGATCTCAGGATCTTTTTGAAATCGCTTTCAATTCTGAGTACTTTTCAATCTGGAGGGGAGAAAAGTGTCATCATATGCTCTAAGTTCAATGAATGAACTTATCATATTGGCTGCACTTTCACTTTTGAAGGTCTTGTTGTTCTTCCGCGTCCTCTGATGCTGGATCTATTATGTTCCTTGTCATAAGAGTAGCCATCATGACAAGGAACGTAATAGATCCAGCATCACAGGACGCGGAAGAACAACAAGACCTTCAAAAGTGAAAGTGCAGCCAATATGATAAGTTGAAATTTAATTCATGAACTTTTGTAACTAAGTGGTAATAATATAACTAGTTAAAGTGAACTAAATTTTAACTTTTAACATTTGTATTTTTAACTTCTATTTTATAAGAATAACTTGACATATATTATTGAGCGTGAACCCGAACAAGATACAGGATCGAAATAAGTGGAAAAACGAACGTGATTGCGTGTGATTGCGCAACTGTGTTCGTACACCTGAGGATGACCTCTTGAGGTCGAAACATGTAGTGTGACAATAATAAAAACGTGTTGTGTGGTCGGTAAAATTAACTCTAATAGTGATTAAATACACAACAGGATGCAAGAAACAATAAAATTTGACATCAGTCCTGAAGATTTCAGAGTTCAAGATATGCTGGATCCACTGCAAATTTTTTCACGTGACTTTCCCTCCTCTCTTATCAAACAAGGATTGAAACATTTGAAAGTGAGGAGTATTAGGTTCCATTGTAATGTGAAGCTTGTACTATGTTATTGGTCTCCTTTATTAGTTATCATCATCATCATCCAACCATCTTGGATAATGGATTCTACATCATAGGTAATATCACTTAAGAACTATTGTGGAGGGCAGGGGCAATGAATGCAATTAGATAATGACCAAAAACATCTTCCACAGCAGCAATATATTTTAAATGTTGACATTCCATAAACATAAGAATGGAATGGGGTAATCACATGGTTGGTGTTCTGCAGAGACAAGCAGAAACATTTGACAGCAACATTAAGAATATAAACATGAAGGACTTAGCATGTAATTACAAATGTGAGTGCAGTGCAGTGTGTGTGTTGGTCAAAGCAAGTACAGAAAGTTTAAAGCAAAGTAAATTGAATTTCAGGAACTTGCAAAAGATGACACTGAGGCTTTCCTAAAGAAGCTGAAAGTTGTGTCCCACGATTTAGGTGAAGAAGTAACACGCGAACTTCAAGATGTTTTGGAATCAGTGAAGAAGATTCAACCTGATTGGAAGGCAGTTATCTCTTCTTATCAAAATCAACTGAAAACCCTGAGAGAGGAACTTGAGAATGATGAAGGGTTCACTGGAGCATCTGAAAATTTGTGAGTAAGGTTTATATTTTTTTCTTAAGGTGTGCTGATCTTACTTAAATTTGGAAAAAATTCTAATGAACACTAACACATGCAAGTTTAAGTAAAATTTCTATATATTTTATCTAGGCATGTGGAAGACTGACACTTCACACATAAACCTGTCCAGACCTGTTGCACCCATGAGCAGTCATGCTGAGCTCCCCACCACAACAATGCATGTGCTATCTTTTCTCTCATCCTCTGTCTACATGGGAATTCTGGGAACTTTTTGACTGCCCATCATATATATTGCGTGAGACAAAATTCATGTAAAACCTCTCCATAATGTGATTCCTTGTTAAAAAGCCAATCATAAATATTGTAGAACATATTGTTATGTGTTAATGACTGAAATTGGACTTGGATTGGTAATTGCATTTATTGAACTCTTATCACTTGTAACTACAAATAACTGAACAGTTTCATGGAACTACACACTCTACATATCACTATACCAAACATTACAGCTTCAGTGTCTTTATTAGGCATTGATATGCAACAGTTCTTCTGCTGTCATGCTTACATCATTGCTGGCTGTCTGCCATTTCACAACTAACTAAATTTGGATTGGTAATTGCATTTATTGAACTCTTATCACTTGTAACTACAAATAACTGAACAGTTTCATGGAACTACACACTCTACATATCACTACACCAAACATTACAGCTTCAGTGTCTTTATTAGGCATTGATATGCAACAGTTCTTCTGCTGTCATGCTTACATCATTGCTGGCTGTCTGCCATTTCACAACTAACTGCAACTCTTGGCATCACTATCTACTCACTAGCTCTCACTGCCCTCTCACTGGTTCTCACTGTAAATGGCACAAGCTATAAAATGATAAAACCATGGGCACATTATAGCTGCAATAGATTTTCAAAGCAGCCTCCGTCCATTTCAAGGTGAAAGGCAGTGCACCACCTAGGATTCTCTCTAACACATCATAACTTGTTGACATCGACCGTCGTAACAACTGCTGGAAATCTTGCCATGAAATGTCAATAGTCCTGGGAGAGACTTCATTAATATTCTCTTTCAGATGTTTCCCCACGAAAGAAGTCCATCAGAGTTAGATATGGCAACCATGTAGTTCTTTCAATTGGCCCTCAACTGGATAGTCAACCTTTCTGGATATGTCACATTAACTACCGCTGGACAACTTCTCACAGTGCGATGGAACTCTTATCATTCTGAAACCATAACCTCTGCCTTACAATCAGAAGCACATCTTCAAACAAATTCAGTAGAACAGTTTCCAGAAAATTACAATATTTCTGAGCAGTCAGCCTGTCATGTAGCAGATAGAGTCCCAAGATGATATCTCCAGTGATTCCAGCCCAAGTGTTAATGCTGAAGTGGACTTGATATCCACATTTGTTGATAGGTGGATGTTGAACACACCATCACTTGCAGAACATGCTCCATCTGACTGCAGAATATTATGTAGATAGAGCTCACATGCAGTGTGATGGTATTGTCATTCATAAAGTTGCAGCCATAGAGGAAGATAATCTGAAAACAAATGTATGCTTCACAAGTGATGATATGAATGAATTTGCTCATCATGAAGTATTTCAAGGACCTTACTTGGGATAGTCCCAATTCTTGATCTATATCTGTTGAGCTTCTTCATGGCTGTCATGTCATCACTACAATTATGCATTTTCATTGGCTGGTCTCCATCCATTCTGTGGGTAACCTGCATTCACATGTGCCATGGGTGTTACAATTGTTGCCTTACAGAGACACTGCTCCAGTTATCAGAACATGAGCATTTTGATGATGTCAGCCAGGATGACATAGCACATATTCCCATGCAGCATTACCACATTGTCTATATGGATACCGAAGGTTAAGAATATATTACAGTATTTGTCATGTGTGTATTCCATGAGTATATGAACACAACTGGCCCCTGTTGTGCCCTGTTTGTCTTGAGGACAACTAACAATGTGCTGTGTATCTTCATGACAAATAATACTGCTGAGAAATATGGTACCCCATTTCATGCTAATGTGTATCTCAAAAACTAAACATCTCAGGACATATGTTGCAGAATATTTTTGACTTGTTTTTTTAACAAGAAATTACATATTGGGAAACTTGTGCATGAATTTCATCCTGTATACGAAACACAGATGTTCATTTTTTACATTTTTTATTGAAAACGTTTTCATGGAAATTTGTAAACAACATGTGCTCTTATAGTCCTTTCTGTGTTGCAGGAGCAAGTTTATTAATGCAGTCACAAAGGCAGTGGTAGTAGTTACTAAGGGAATTGCTGAGATGGTAGACCGTTCCTTTGAAGATGTGAACAAATTGACGATTTTACTTCAAGAGTCATTCAGCAAGGTATCTTATTACTGAAGATATCTCATTACTCTGTTAATGATGTTAATATCTGCACTGAATATGAGTATATGCACCCTTATTTTCATTTTAAAATGTTCCTTTATTAATATTTTACTTTAACAATTTGTTTTGGCAGCTTCTTCCAAAGGTGAAGGAATTCTATATTAAAGTAATAAATCTGTCGAGCGCAGTGAGTAGTGCTGTGGTAGAAACTGGTTCAGAAGTCCTACTGAAGTTGGCTGATTTTGTTAAGGAACATGAAGATGAAATCAAGAAGATAGTCAGGGTGCTCCAAGAATTTGTTGAAGGTACAGTCCCTTTCTACCTCAGTCACCAGTTCCTTTGCTGATAAATTTAATAAATTTTAATACAATTTTTTCCTTCATTACCCTCATAGCCTTTGAAAATGTAGCTAGATGAAGCTTTTATACTGGGTTTTTTCTGTTAAATGGACTCTTTTTTATTTTATTCAGTTGAGACATCTCACAAAATATAATACAATGGAACATGAAGATTTAGACTGTGATCTTCTGGCCTCTGACAGTCTGTAGTCTGATAGGTGATCACCAGCAGCAAGTTTCTTTCAAATGTTGGTATCCACCAGTGGCATCTTGTGATCACCTGAACAAATGGGGTCACGACCAAATAAAATTACCACCCTTCCAGTGCCTATAATTAGGGAAATGGGCAATTTCTGATTTTATTAAAATCCTCACATTTTAAGCCTTTATTTTCATGCATAATAAACTCCTTTTTTTAGCAGCTGTAGGCTCGTTCTGTATTTACAGGAACGTTTTTTACAAGGGACTGCACACCCCTGTGACTTGCAACTGAACCCCTTACTGCTCTTTGTAGCAATATAATGCTCACTTTGGCTGGGAAGGAATATGGATCCTGCTATGCTCATCTGCACCCTCTAACTCTCACACATTGATCATGCAGGCAGACAGACAGACCAATGCTTGTATACTGTAGGTGCTTAATCATATGTGTACATATGATTAATATTGTGTTTAGATACTGGCAAAATTGTTGGCAAGACAGTTGTCCAGATCCGAAATGAGGTGCTAGACTTTGTGCGTGTTCTGGTAGACCAAGTGAAGGCTCTTCCAGTCTATGGAAATATCAAGGAACAGTACAAGCATGTGAGTAAATTTATCTTTATCTCGTATATTTCTGAAACAGAATTAACCTGTACATAGGATTCCAAACAATGTTGGAATAATTTTGTAGTTTTTGTGGTTAGGATGACAATATTGAACAGTCTATGCTCTTAAATTCCTGCATTTTTTATGTTAAACTTAATAACATAATTGATTCTCCTTAATGGAATGCATTACAAACTTAATTTATTTGACCCACTCCATTTATGTCTCTAATGCAACCTAAAACTGTTCACAATTTCTCATTTATTTAAAACTACATTAAATTACATAAATTGCTGCATGCTTCGGCCCTTCTTGGCCATCTTCAGGCAACTGTTCACTTATTGAAAATGTTGCATTGTACTAGTTTGAAAGTCAGTGCATTACATGCTATTTCTTGTTGTTGTACACACTAAAATGTGTTTGAGAATAAAACCTCTCTCTTCGTTCTGCATTATTTTTCTTCTGCAGTGTCCATATTTTTGTCCCCTTTGTATATGAAGAGAGAGTTTTCATTCTTACACAAACACATTTTAGTGTGAACAATAATATGCTATAGCATGGAATATATTGACTTATAATCTAATGCAGTGTGACAGTTTCAATAAGGGAACACTTGCCTGAAGATGGGCAAGTAGGAATGAAACATGTAGCAATTGGGGTGATTTTAATGTAATTTTAAATGAAAGAGAGATTGTGAACAGTTTTAAGTCGCATTATTGACAGAAATAAATGAGTAAGTGATAGATCAATGCAACAGGATGCTCAAATATAATTTATTTGAATTGTGTGTTTGTCAGATTATTAAAAGGATGCTATTCAATATGCCATTAATGGTTTGTTTCTTATTAACACATTCATAACGGGATGATCCACTCAAGTGTCACCCCATAACTGTACAGAGGGCAAAGGGACTCCAAGGTGGTTCACATACATATAAAGCAAACAAGAAACAAACTCCATGGCTTGAGGCCACAAGTGAACTATACCAACAGAGCAACCACCACTTGCCGGTGAAGGTCCAGGAAAAGAATGATACATTTGTGGATAGCTACCCACTTCAAAATAATTTCTGCATGCTTAATGACAAATACTGGAACATAATTTAATCACACTTCCCATGCTGCACACATGTTTTAGCTGTTATTATTACTCATAAAAGAAACTCCATGGCCTGGAACCCGCAAGCGAACTATACTGACCAAGTGACCGCCCCTTGTCAGTGAAGTTAATGCCAACTTTAGCAGATAGATGGTGTCGCGTGGTCAGTGCAGTGGATCCCCATGGCCGTTAATCTCAGTTTTCTAGACCGGTATTTGCTCATAAGAGATATATTTGAAATTCTACCATTCTACCATAATTGGCTAAGTGATCCACCAATGATATACAGTGCTTATGGTACAAATTTAATAATAATCTCTATCTAATAAGAAAGTAACTTCACTTTCTGTGAATATACATACAAAGAAACTTAAAGAAAAGTCCTATTCAGATATACTAAATTGTTATAAAACAAAACACCTGTACACAATATCTATGTGACTATAAACCCAAGGTAAAAGATGATACAATTCCAGTCATACATTTTGACGAAAACAAATTGATTATTTATTCAGATAAAATATTCATTTTGAAATACTTAAGAATCTTAAATTTTGTTCCCCTTTATACCTGCCAATTTTAGGTCCATATATTAATTTCCCAGTGGAACTTGCATCTAATAGGGAGCACACAGTAGCATAGTTGGTTGAGGCATTATGCTACAAGCTAGAAGGTTGCAGGTTCAATTTCCAATTTGGATTTTTTAGTTGACCTAATCCTTCCAGCTGCACTATGGCCCTGTGGTTGACTCAGCCTCTAACAGAAATGAGTGCCAGGAATCTTCTTAGGAGTAAAGGCTGACTGGTGCATGAGGCTGAAAACCTCATTGCCATCTGTGAGCTGATTGTCTAGAAAATTTGGGAGCCTTGACATCTCACAACCTTTTGGACCTCCATGGCCTGTTACAGGGATAGTTTTGTCTTTTTTTTTACTTGCATATAATTTTTCTCTGTTCTTTTTCTGTCATCATACACTCATCACAAAATTCCTCTGTGACCTGCAATTGCTTTTTTTGCTGTTCCTGATAGCAAAATTTGGTATCATATGCAGTGTGTGAGGATAAAAGAATTTGTATAAAATGAAGCCCATTGCTTCTGCATGGACTTCCATGATTGCATAATGTACATATGTTCTCCTTAATTGATCCATCTTGCACATACATTCATGATTCTATACCTTGGAGTTATCCACATTGTAATCAGGGAGCTGAGTAGTTGGGAAAGAAACTGTGGCTAATGTATGAAATAAAGATAGTGGCTGTTTATGATATCTTAAAAGTAACATCTTGCACCTTCACTATACTGTAGGACTATTGAACACTTAAAGGATTTTCATTATTATGAGGTCTGTTGAACTGAGGTATTCAAGTAGCCAGTTTATTTGCCTGTTCATTACCAAAAACATTGAAAACCATGAAAAAAAAAATTCATTGCTTTGCTTGAAATCAGGATTCATATCTGGTCTAAGCTTGATTGATCTGAATTGGATGGTTATATATATGATTTATTGAACTTCTGTTTAGTGGGCACAATTATTTTGAGTACTTGGAAGGTCTTCTAATGATTAACTCTGAATTCATATAGTTATTAAATTAGTTACTACAAAAGATCACTGTATCATAAACAGCACTTGACAAGTCTGGCATGCCAGTGCTTCACTTCAGGTATCATTTACAGTGGTTGAACAAAACAAATGCAGCCAAAATATTTGATCACATACAATGGCTGTACCCCACAACAGAGCCACTGAGAACCTAATAGCTCCAAAAATGTCAAACTGGATAAACTGCCTTGTAGAGAATTACAATTGGACATGTCAAATATTAACAACTTCACATCAAAAATAACATAACATTCACACAGTGATTTATCACTGTGTTATGTATATTTGGTTGTGTTTCATTGACTACATTATGCATACGTACTAAAAATGTTTCTGTTTGTTGTATCAGATACTCAGATTGCAGGGAAAGGAAAGTAAGCTGTTACTTCTTCTTAGAACTTCTTGTTTTATTTTCAAAATTTCTTCTTAACGTTTTTAATTAGTTCTGCAATCCTATGTACAATAATTTACTATAACTTAATAAAAGCTACTCACTTTAAAAGTTTTCATGACATGTTTTGACCAAAGTGGTCATCATTAGGTGTTAAAACTTTTTAACATAAGATGGGTCCTCCTATTCTTTTAATTAAAATGAAATAACCTCATTTTATAATAAGGTAAACTTAGTCTGTATGAAATGCTTCCTGACATGAATCCAGTGTGATGTCAATGACTTGCTAAAAGTGAACCAATCAGTAGTTTTTTTACATACACAAATATTCACCAGTGCTGAAGTGGTTTATATTAAGTAAGAAAAATCTATAAAGTATAAGGAATTCATAATTTGATGTTATGAAAATCAATCAAGGTTTCTTAAAGATATGCTGTATTTTGTCTACCATTTCAGTTTGTAAGTCAGTTATCACAACACTTGCTACCAGAACAGGCATGGGCAGTAATCAAGGATTTTGTTGGTGGTGTGAAAGATTCTCTTCCAACTGAAGAACTGAGGGAATTAATTGGTGCTGTTGAGGCTTATGTTTCAAAGGTATGTATGCACATTTCAGAAAGTATGTATGTATGTATGTATTTCGTCTCTATAGATCATTGTTACATGATATAGGACAAGTCAGTTACTGTACATTGGCTGATTACAATAAGAGGATAAAGTTACAATACTTAAAATTGTTTACAATAGTTATGATTTCACATAGTGTGAGGTGGAATCCATATTAGGTCCCCTCGGCACGTCGGCTTCCATATGTCCTATTGTGCCTGTACTGGTGATAATAATGTTTATGGAGAATTTGATGGAATGAGGATTGGCAGGGGAAGCCGAAGTACTCGGGGGGGGGGAACCTGCCCCAGCGTCATTTTGTCCATCACAAATCCCACTTGACTAGACCGCAGCGGTGGGAAGCCAACGACTAACCGCTTAAGCTGTGGCGCGGCCTTTGAGATAATACTGGTGAATTTGGTGATACCACTGGTATAACGTTTCACTGTAGACTCTACATTGTAACATCTCACTACATCTGTTCTCCCTTCTTGGTGCAGCTTCTGTCTGTGGTGGGTTATTACTATTAGTAACACATTGGTACACTATTTGAGTCTGTCTGCCCAAGATACCTGTATAAATTATTCATTGTTTTCAGAATTTATTTCTCAAAATTAGTGAAGGACTTGATGTTGTTATATTACATTTCAACAAATGTAATATAACTATAAGATATATGTAACTATAACCAATAGATAATCTATTTTTACTTTTATTCATTGATGACTCAGACATGAAAGAAAATAATGTTACCAAAATGGTTATATTTTGACATCCTGTAGACATTAAAATATGCCATTTTGTTAATAATCCACAGTCCAGTTCAGTAAGGGGCACTTTAATCTTTTGCTTGCTATATTTTGGGTCTACTTGTTAATTCTGTTATTTCCTTTTCTTTCCCCCAATTCTTATTTTAACAATTGAACATCATTTCCATGTTTGTGCAGCCAGTTATGTGTATGGCCAGAAAGGAAGTGTGAGAGTTGAAGAAAGAAGCTGCTAAATGTTTGTTACATAAATTAAGCCATAATAAAATGAATAATATAGTACTTAGTATTCAGTTCTTTCATTCCAATAAATGCTTTCATGTCTTCCAAGAGACTTTTCAGTTCGGTACCAGGCACAGTTCAACACTCGTCAAATTAAATACAATTGTCAAATGTTCATAGTATGATAAAATAAATGGACACCAGAGGAATCCTGGCAAATCGTGTAACATGTGGAACTTAATATCGAAATGAGTTAACCAAAAATAAATTGCGACATATGGGGTGTTATGCATCAAAACATACGATCTTCAGACACTTAACTTCCTGGATATCTATAGTCAGTTCTCAGTTAGAAAATGTTGACACACATTATTTCTGTAGGTATGCAGCATTTACAAAACTGAACTTGAACTACACCTATTCACCGCCAAGAAAGTGCATCTGATGTAAAGTTTGACTTCTTTTGACAGAGAAAATTATGGAGAGTTTACACCTTGCAAAAAATTGTATAACAATAACAATAACAATTTGGACATATTATCAGCAAAGGAGAAAGAAAGAATATTACTGTATGGTTCATTACACTGCAGATTCAGGTTTGTAGTGCAAATCAAACCATGCCCCTGAAAGAAAAAGGGATATTTCAGTTTATAGGCTGTCCCTATTGTGAGTTTTATATTAAAAGAATTATCATAATCTTATAGCTTGTAAATTATATTTGTGTATTCCTCTTACAGAAAACTTGTTCTAAGGAGGATGACTGTCTGTATAACACACACTTATTGAAGAGTTCCATGTGGTTGTCTCCAGATATTTTTATATACATGTACTTATGATCTCCTTTTCTCATCTCATTTACAGCATGTGAACAAGGAAACAGTGAATGATGTTGAAGAACTGCAACTTATTTTGAATAAAGCCCTCAAGGCCCTGAAATCACTCCTGACCATTGTATACAAGCAAGTCCCTGCTCCAGAAGCAGTAGAAGGCTCAAGCTTCCTAGGACTTAGGGTGAGCAGACGTACATAACTTAAAAAGAGTAGAAGTTTAGAAGAGAAATTAACAAAGAGAACACATCTGAAGACCAGATGAATATAATTTATGTCACAGGAAACCTTACTTTTTATCTCTCACATAAGACAGCATCCCTTTTTCCTTTTGAACATGATGCCAAACATTATCCAAAAGGCATAACTGTTATGCCTATAAAGTGTGACATTATACAAATACACTATATAACTAATGTATAAGTAGAGTGTTTTATGTGCCAGTACTGATGTTTTTTCAAATTGTTCATTAATACTGACATAACTCCTGACTGCATGGCAGCAGTTAAACCAGTGATTATATTCTCCAGTTATGTGATGCTGTGTGGTATGGCAGATTATCACTAATATTCCTGAGGAACCTTCTGCCTCCATCTATAGGATAAAAGAGATAGAGATCAACACATATACCTTAAAGATGGGTGCAGCAAATTTCCCTGGAACATCATAATGATCTACCATACCATCCAGTGGTACATACTAGAAGACAGTAATCTTCATAGCCACTGCTCTGAGAACCTTAGATGTCAACAGTTAACTCTTCCACAGTAATCATGAAAATTTCTGCATCCAAGGTTTATGTTTCTCTTTCATTAGAGCAGCTTGCTGCCAATTTGGAATTAAAAAATTGTGTGTGTTTTCTATTACGTCCATATATAAGGGAATTAATTACAACTGTAAAACTTGATTACATTCTAAGCTTCTAGTCTTTAGAGCCATTACTAGTTTTCTGCCAAAATACTGTGATGTTCAACTAGAATATTCATTTTTCTCTATTTCTGAAGGAAGGCTTTATGTATTATTTTAATCTTACAGATTTTATACTTATTACAAGGAGATTTATTTTATTTTTCCCACTTATGCCCTTCAGACAGTGTTTCTGAATTTGTTTCTGTGATATAATAATATTTATTTAACATGAATATATCCTCAAGGAATTGTTTAGTACAGTTATTTATTCACAGTACTTAGAGAAATATGTCTTGCAAAACAGTATATATATGTTTTCAGCTACCATTTGCACTGAAAGCAGTGTTTGAATTTCCAAAGTTGGTAGCATTCAAGTTTAGTCCATTCCTGTTCGTAACATCTGGTGGGCTCAGTGAACTTCCAACACTACAGGAATTCATTCACACTCTCAGGCCAACAGTCAACCCTCTGGAGTGGATACCACCATACAGAGGTATGAGACCACACTATTTTGAATATTTAATTCTGTGTAACTTCTAAGTAGTCTACTATACAAATCAGTCATTCAGTTCATGAGCAGCCCATGTGCAAGCAAGCAAGCAAGCAAGCAAACAAGCAAGTAAAGTCTACTGCTACACAGCTGCACACAGTGTGCAGTTCATTTCCATTATTAACTGCATGTTTATTCTCATGGACACAAATGAAAACCACAAATCTCATAAAATGATACTATTTGGTGCTTCTGTAATATCCTCCCTGAAATCATCATTAATTCTTTGTAGCCCTACATTTACACTATTAACATTTCATCTTCAGGCTTATTGTTAATACACTATGTATTTCACGTGGATATTGTCTCCTGTTATGACTGTGTTTACTACATGGATGCCATGAGCTTCCTCTTCTCCATCCTTATATAAATGCATAAGCACTACCACCTCAAACTGGCTCTCTCCCTGATTAGTAATGTTTTATACAACACGATTTTATTCTTTGTCATCCTGCTGGGTTATTTCTATGTCTATTGAAGGAAGAGTGTCAGGTCTTTCAGTGTGTAGCTTTTCAGTGTTTGATGTGAAAAGGGGCTCATAAATACTTTCATCAATCCTATATGTGTGTGTGTGCACACGCGCACACACACACACACACACACTTCACAGTCTTATTTAAGCACGCATAAATATGGAAATATAAGTAACCTAAAATATTAATGTGCAATTTTCTCACACTGGGAAGCTGAACCATTCATTTCATATAATGAGAGTTAGAATACATGTTCAGAGAAGTGGAGGAGACATGAACATGTATGAACTCATGTTAAAGCCTCAGATGTCCTGGCCCTAGTGGCAAAGGAACAGACTTGCAATGGGATGATATGATTTCTATGGAGTATCATAAGATAGTGGAAATAACTGATGTGGAATTGTGATAAACATAGGGCCTGTGAGGCAAGGCTCAGAGATAATGGATAATATTATTAATAACTGTGTTAACATACCATCAACACAAATTTTATATGTTATTTAAATACTTGTTACTTAAAAATCCATCAAAGTACCTTGCATGTAGAGAGGAATTTAATGTTACTGGGGACCAGCCCCTCCAGGTGTTAGGGATATGCATTCCTGAGTTAGATACCTGCAGTACTATATAAGGATGCCCACTGTGGAACTTGCCTTTATACTGTATGTCTCACTGGGACCTCATGGTCTTGCAGTAAGATTTTGGACTCTCATTCAGAGGGAAAGAGTTCAAGCCCTTATCAGATCTGTGCGAAGATTATTCTGCTGAAATCTTCACCTCTAGTAAAGACATAAATTCGGGGATGTGAACAATACCATCCCTCTCCCCTCCAGCACTTCTTAGCCAAAATTAAACTACAGGTACCCTCTGGTGACCTCAATTCGCATGATTACCTCCTGTCATGGGAGGTAATAGAGTCCATTCTGTGGTTGCCCCCACCTCATTATTAGATTTAAACCCTTGTCCAAATGGACAGAGCTCAGAAAGATCGATACTGACCATATCTGGAGGCACTAAATGAACAACACAGTTTTTCACAGTTGCTACGTAATAATGTCAATAGGTCATAGAAATATTTTACTAGTATTTATAATTTTTATTACTGATAAAGAGTTCACCTATTCAGTATGTATAAATAATGTTTCCTTGTGTTACAGCTCAAGGTATACTGATTGACTTATATCACTTCATCACCCTGGATGGACGTCACTTCACATTCAAGGGAACCTGTGCTTATGTTCTGCTGCAAGATATTGTTGATGGAAATTTCTCCATTGCAGTAGACTATGCCTCAAAGTCCTTGGTTGTTAGTGACCAACATGAGAGTGTAGAATTTTTCAGTGACCAGACAGTAAGTATGACCTTGCAGGAGTAAAACGATATTTTTCATTCGGTATTATTATTTAGGAAATTTTACATCTAAAAATTTATGATCAGTAAAAAACAGCACTATTATTTGTTCCTTGTTTCTATTTTCCACCAGTTCAAAGCCAATGGACAACCTGCAGAATTCCCATTAATATCTGGTAACTTCAAAGTATGGAAAGACTTTGGAAGTGTTAATCTGAAACATGATGCTGGTCTTTTCATCAGCTGTAAGCAAGACCACAACTTCTGTTTCTTTGCTGTGTCTGGCTACTATTTTGGCAAGACCCGTGGCTTGCTGGGAACTCTTGATTATGAGCCTTGGGATGACTTCAAACTGCCAAATGGACAGGTGAGTTTATGACTGAGTTTGTATATGAGTCTGCAGAATTTCATTTTTTTTTTATCATAAGAAGAATTCATGTTCCCATAATTACGGATTTTATAAGAAAATTCCTATATGTACTATGTGCATGCAAAAGGATAAAGGACTGGATACAAATGCATAGGAGATGTCACAGAAAACTGTAATGTCAAAGTATATACATAGTTGTATATAAGAGCTCTAGAGTCACTTCACACCACAAAATTGGTTTCCAGTAATTGATAATTACCATTTTAGCTGGCAGTTAAAATTATAACAAGACTGCATATTGATCTAAAAAAGTCTGATTCTGTCTTTAGCTGGGGCAGGGAAAGAAACCACTGAACCTTTCTTCAGGTTTGTGTACAGCACCAGGTGTTAATTGTTTTCGTGTGGTGTTTTTTCAGGTAGTGTCAAAAGTGAATGACTTTGGTAACAGCTGGAAAGTTAACCCATCTTGTGGAGATGTTAGTGGAGTAACTCATCATGATCATGACATGCCAGAACCACCAGAATGTACCCACGTATTTGGAGGTTCCACACCTTTGAGGTATAATCACAACAAACATATTTATAGCAGAATCCCCATTCAGGGCTTCTCTGGGCTAAGACAATGAATCTGAACACAAACTAAGGCATACTATAAATGTGAAGATTAACATTGAGGTCATTGAAATTATTACCTGACTGAGGGGAAACCCTTAAATAAAGGAACACTAAATGGGAATTCCCCTGCACTTTTAATGCATTTTGTGGGATGTTGATGTGTGAAGAGACGACCACTTATGAAATTGCTATAGAAATATTTATTGTTGTACAGAATATATAGATGAATTTCTGTTTGAAGAATTGAAGGTCGCTGGTTGCTGATAAGCTGGGTGAAGAAGATATCTCTGTCTAGTTGGTTCTTCCTATATTAGTCCACCTAAAATAGTCTCAGCCTGAATTTGTAATGGATGTCTGTTTCTCCTGTTTGGTCACCACGTTCTTCTGAACTACTCCCCTGAAGACATGATTTTCAGCCGTTATATATCAATAATAATTGTATTGTAGGTTTTACCTAGTGAGGGATTGTTCAAGAAACGTGTCTCCAAGGAAACGTGTTTACTGGGCCAATGCTTAGCAGTGGGTGGTTTCTGTACTGTGATTGGCTAGCGCTTGACTCAGTATGGGCAGTTCCCACACATTTTATTTCTGCATTTAAATATTTTAATTACTGCTTCAGTCCAGTAATTATCGGGTTATTTTCTGATGGCTATTGCCAACACAGTCATTCTTGATTCTCTGTTCCATGGGACTCATGACTGTATTTTACTGTCTCCCCACTTCCAACAGTTCCTCTATTGTTGTTTGCATATTCGTTGCTGCAGAAACATGTTTTCAGAGCCATTGTCTGTCTATGAACGTCTTCTCTGTCTCCACTATTCCAGCTTTCAGGCATCATGTCACAGTCTCATATCTTTAACTAACCAAATCGATGGAGCAGAGCCCTTAAAAGACAAACAGTCATGACTTTACAGCTTCTTAAAATCCATAATTCATTAAACACTTGAGATATACTGGACCTATTTTATACAGATATTTTGTAATTTCCTTGCTAAAACCTGTCAAATTATATATGAAGTTTGGAAAGATCGGTCAATTAAAAATTGTAATTTTACTTGAATTCTGTAATGGTAGGATGAATTTCATTACATATCCAACAAATTGTTGGACAAATATTTCCAATGTGGAATTAGAACTAAACAATACCACAGCCTTACGTGAGTTTTTTGATACAGAAAGACACCCCACAAAATTCTAACATGTCTTTGGAGAACATAACCAGCTTAATGGCTGTGGGTGGAGAAGTTTGGTAAATACGAGTATTGTAATTAATGATATCTTTCTTGGCATTAACTGTTCAGGTTGGGATACTTCTTTGTTCCATCTGCACCTTTCCGTGAAGCTTGTTCACATATTGTTGCTGATGCAGCCACACCTGAAGCAAAGAAAGCAGCTGCTTGCTCAACTGCTGCTGCATATGTAACTCTTGTTCACAGTCGGCTTATTTTTGTGTCTCTGCCATCAGATTGTGGTGAGTTAATGAAATCAGTGACTCTCAACACATGGTTCATATTCTAGTTTTATATATATATATATATGTGTGTGTACATGTGTGTGCATGTATGCACACACACGCGCACACATGGACATATATACATACATAATACAGACATGTGTGTGTGTGTGTGTGTATATATATCAGTATACTATAAAGTTACTATTTTATGGCTGGCAATTCTTTACTATTACTTCTTTCCTCCCTCTTTTTCTTTTTTGATGTTTATTAGCGTGACTGAGTGGTATGATAATGAACGTAAAGGAGTTTCAAGGACATAAAGACAGCTACTGCACAACTGTGTTCCCTGATAGTACAGATCATTTCACATGCAGATACATGCCCTGGCCGAAGTGTTATCATAGGTATAGCATGCAAATACTAAATGATTATAAGCTGGCCAAGACAACTATGGCCAATGGTGGGGACCTCCTTTTTTTTTTTGTATTCACTGGTGGTAATATAAAATATTTTCAGCCTGGGAGCCTGTGGACTCTGTTGACATTCATTTATTTCCAGGAATATAGTCAAGAAACCTTGACTCACTGCTTAACAAAACACTGTTTACAACAATTATGTATTGATTATATTTTTGTCACAGATTTTATTTCTAATAAAGTTGCTTCATGTAAATGGCCATATACGTGTATCACAACAAATTCTCTTTGCATTTTGGCTTGTCAGCCATCTTCAGTGCGACTTAGGCTGTAATTTTTAGTGACCGCAACTTGCATGATTTGCAATATCCTGTATTGCTCTCCTGTTGATATGTATCTCTTAATTAGTGTGAGTTTGAAAGGTTTGATCGGTATGTTGTTCAATTATGGCTAATCCTACCTTATTAAATATAGGCATGAAGAATTGTTTCCAGTCATCATTGTTTGTTGATTTTGCATAATCTTCAAAATATCCATCCTATCTTCAAATTTTCTATATTCATTTTTGATGTCAGGTATGTGTTTTCCTATTATGACTTGTCATTGCCTATGATGCTGTGGATAGGTTCACCATACCTTGTTTTGAAATATCTCCCAGTTTGTCTTATACGTAGCATCTCATTATTACATGTCATATGTTACATGATAGTTTCTGAACATAATGTAAGTTAAAAGTTTATATGAATATATACCTGAGAGCCTTCCTTAAAAAGATTCATCTGTTCTACTTTCAACTTCATGGGGCCAAGAAAGCCCACCCCTTATACATTCATTCAACTTCATGGTCACACCTTAAATATTTCTTAAATTTAACAGCTTCTGTGTAAGAAGAAAACAAACAAAAGAGCAGTTAATAACCCCTTTAATTTCACTTTCTTACAAGAGGTGCTCAAAATATCCTTGCAAGCATTCAAAGATTTCAGGTGTATTCTTTATATCACTTGAAATTTTTTATTTTTTGTATCACAGTTCCTTCCTAACATAGACCAGGCATGTCCAATGCGTTGATCGCAGGACGATTTTTGGTTGATCTCATAGGACTATAAAGAAATTATACATGAAAAGCATGTAAATTCACTTATAGTGTGATTATATTCAGATTTTGAAGGGAAAATACATGTTAAAGTAGTCTGTACTTTCAATGTATGTTGCTTTTACAACAAACATCATGTATCGTGTTATTTTTACCAATATTTTTGCTTAAAGCGAGGTACGGCGATAGAAGGGGGTGGTGATCACTGGCAGTTTTGACACTAAAAAGTCGATCACAGCCTGTTTGATATTGGACATGCCTGTCATAGACTATAGTGGCATTGACTTTTGTTTTCAAATACATATATAGAAAATATTGTCATGAATCAAGACAGGTGAGCGTGCAGAACAGGAAACAGGAGCTTCATGTTCGTGACCATTCCAGTGTACAGGATAATTTTCAGGCAGCCATTAACCCACTTCATAATTGTAATGAGGTGGAGTATAATCATGTTGAAACTACATATGAAGAGATATATTGAATGACACAACTTCCAACAGTCCATTTAAGTGTATTTATAGTATATTACAGTGATTGTGGCCACTAACTCATGCCAGTAAAATGTAAAATTCTGTGATGTTTTCAACTGGATGTCTATGATCACAACATGAAAAACAAAATGCTCTCAGTATATCTGTTTTTCAGAGATGAAATTTTCTAATTATTATAACTTTTTGAGGAAGGACTACAAGGTACACATTAATATGAATTTTTCTTTTACTTATTTTGATGTTGCAACACACCATCCTGTAAAATATGGCGTTTAATAAGGTAATATTCTGTATATAATCTTTTGCATTTATTGCATTTAAGTTTCTATATTCCATGCTGTATGTATTTGTCATCCTCCTCCTCCTTTATAACAAATCTTTTCTGTATGGTGTTTATTGTTGATGAATACTGTGACAGCAGTTACCAATTTTACAAGAGTCATAAGCAGTTTTAAAATTTTTGTTTTGTACGGCAATTCAAAGCAGTAAGCATTTAATAGCTAAATATATCTTACTCATACCTTTGAAGACAATTAGTTTTTGTCCCTAACAATGTGATGAAAACATTCAGCGTGCTCTTATTAATAGTAAAATTAACTTTATGTTACATAGACGATGACAAAGCATTTTACCCATGATGGGATCATTCGTTAATTTCTTATGTTTGCAAGTGACTGTCTAAGAAGCAAATACAGCACAGACTTTCAGTCTTCTAGATGAGAAGATTTCATCTACATAAGAAGTTGGAATGGGATGCCATGCATAAGGACTTTGTAATCAATATCAAGGCATTTGTGTTCTGCACATTTAAGAGTCTGCCTTGAAACTGAAATATTTTGATTCTCTTTCAAATTTAAATATATGGGGATAAGAACATAAAGATACTGCCTTCACATAAAAGTTAATAGCTTTCCAGCCAAACTCCCACCTGGTGTTGAATCAGAGCTGACCACAGCAAAGAGGTCGATCTAGAGGTAATGCTGAAGACCCATATTTGAGAGGTGCTCAGGCTGAATCTTGCCTGGAATGCTGACTATTCTGAGTGAGATTTATCATGGTTTCCTTGAACTACTCAAGACAAGGGATGGAATAGTATCTCGGTTATGTCATCACCACTTCTTTCATAATGCTTTCAAATTCATCAGTTGCCCTACTATTTGACACTGTGTGGCCTCAATACAGAAAATGTCATTATATAACCCACTAAGAAAGAGAACTGAACATGCAACTTACAAGACATATTATTACTAAATTATGCCAAGTGTACATGACATTTAGACTTCTTGTCAAACTATACATTGATATATTACTACACTCTTATGCTCAGGGGTTTATCTTACAATGGAGCAAGGAGTTAAGTTGAACTGATTAATATCCTACCTGGATTCATGCATTGCTTGTCTTTAAATGTATCTTTATATGCAAGAAATATTGTGAAAATAGTTAAAACTGGATTGCTTTCAGCTGATGTTAATATGAGCCATGTGTTAATGTAGCTGCACATGTGATTACAGTCCACTGCCCAGTAGTAAGCGGTCCCCCAGTTGAAGTAGGTGATTCAGTCAGTGTGAAAGTACCACAAAAGGCGGCTGATATTGTGATTGTTGTAGAGCAAGATATAAGGAACAGTGAAATATTCAAGGAACTCGTTACACCACTTGTTACAACGCTCACCAATGATCTCAAGGCAAAAGGAATAACGTAAGTGTGCATATAACTTCAGTTATTCTGACATTTTAGTATTTGATCCTCATTTCATGTGAAACCTCTTATAGTCAAGAAAATAGTAGTCAGGGTGTCCATAGTATTGCAGTTATTATCTGGATGTAGCATAATTATAAGAAAAAATAATGTGTTTGCTACTGTGTTTGAAACTTAAATATTCTGTCCACTGAATCACTCATTTTGGTGTTTTAATTTTAGAATGACAGAAACTTCACAAGTAGTTAGAACTTGCAAAATGTGTAGTGACATTTCCAGCTTGTTTGTAATACTGCTTGTACTTGTTCAAAAATATCCCCATAGAAGTAGACTTTCAGAAAATCATGACTAAAGACACTTTACCTTGTAAACACACAGATTTAAAGGATTAAGTAACGTGGAATCCCATCCTACGTAGTAAAGACAAGCAGTGGCACACACACAGAGACTACACAGAATAACACCGGTACAGTACTAGATACAAGAAGTAGCTGCTGCAGCACTATAGACATAGGGCGAGTAACCCTGACATTTTTAAATTTTAAATTTAGAGGAAAATTGGAAACGATTTTAAAATTAGAACTGAGGATTTTATAAGTGCTAATTCAAAGAAATCAAAATTGACGTGTGTAAATAAGAAAGACATCAAACAAATTTTGGTAATAACAATGAAACGAACAATCAAGAAGACCTGTGTTTTTAAATTTTAAATGTTAAACTAAGTGCAGTGTGACAGATACATGAGTAATACACCTGATGATGGCCGTTTGTGGCCGAAACATGTAGTGTGTAAAGGAGAGCAAAACAAAAGACCTATAATATATGGTTGCACTGAAGACAGAGTTGGTATCATGTATCGTTGAAAAGAAACTTTACTGGGATTGATGAATATCAATATGTATATCATATGCCTATCACACATACCATGCCTAAATTAAGTAATAAAAGAAAATTATTTTGTAAATATTGGAGAGGGTACCCATAGATTTACTTGTTGATAATATTTAAATATATGTATTTCTTTTATATGTTTTAATTTACCATATATTCTCAATTGTCTATATATAGATTAATAGGTTTTCAACCTATCTATGTGCCATTGTAGACATGTTTGTAATCTTACATACCATCTACTGGATTCACTAGTTTGTTAATCCATTCATCTGTGTAACATGAAACGACTCAAGAACTGCTGGATAGACCTTTGTGAAATTTTATTTTGCAGAACTGTATGGAACATTGCTTAGCTCTTTTTATTTTAATTTGTATCAGACAATTTTAATGACCACTTTGTATGACTACCGATGTATATTTCTATGAATATCTTGAACTTAGCTCATTAAATATTTATTGAAGCAAAAAGTGTTCCAAAAAAAAGTTGCAGAACAAAGTAAGACATACATTTTATACTCAATAAACTTTTTCCATAAGACATGCAGTTTTTTTTAGATAATTAAGTAAATTGAATGTTGTGTGTACCCAAATTTTCATGAAGTATCTTGAGCTGTGTTTTTTATGTTTTATGCATATATCCTCTTCATTAAAATGTATAATCAGGAGTGTACTCTATTTCCTTTGGTGATGCTAAACTTTCTGTTGTGCAGTGATGTACACTTTACACTCATTGGTTTTGGTGATGCTACACTCTCTCACCCTGCAGTGTACACAGCTGGTGGAAAGATCAACTTCGAAGGTAAGTACTCTCATAATTCCGTGTTGTTGTTGTTGTTGTTGTTATTATTATTATTATTATTGTTGTTGTTGTTGTTATTATTATTATCATTATTATTATTAT